CGTAAGTGGAGATTTCAGTACAGGAATGTGGTGGAATGTGTGTCCTTCGAGGCGAGCACCCGAATATCATGGATTGTACCCCTCGATGAGCACAGAATGAGATAGAAAGTGTATTCCTCGAAGTAAAGGCTGGAGCGTTGTACAATGTGAAAACCTTGTTTATACTAGAACATGACCTTTCAAGGCAGCGCAGTTGGGTAGTGGGATTTGTTTTCTCAAAGCGGTCACAGGACTGTGAAATAATGTTTGCCCTTCGACGCGTATGTGTATTCCTTTAATCACATGAATGTGGAAAGATGCTAGACCCTGGAAGTGAGCATAGGAATATCGTAGCATCGTTGTCCTTTCACGGACATAACGTTAATGGTGTTTCCCTCGAAGAGATTGTTGTAGAGCATTTGTCCCTTGAAGCAACACACGAAATCTGTGTGTACCTCACAGCGAGCGCAAGAAGGTATGGGAGCGTGGAACAAAAGTCCCTTTGTACAATAGCCCCTCACTTTATGTATAAATGGGAAAATAAGATTAAAGACAAGAAATGATTAACAACATGATACATTTTATTGCTTGATAATATAATTACCCTAAATTCTATATAAATTAATATGTAATTAGCAAATATTTTTAGAGAATAAGAAATATATATCATCAAACAAATGAAAACAAATCAACAAGGGTTATAAATGACTTGACATAATAATTCTGGAGCTAAACCTGACATGATAAACCATATACCCATTTCCACCTTGGGAAAGCCTGAGATTGGCTATGAGAATGTTTATTTGTCAAGTATTATTATGAAATATTTGAAACAAGTGTTTTATTATGAAATACATGAATCGATTGGCTTTTGACAGGGTTGCTCAAATTAGCGAGGGGCTATTGTCCAGAGGGGCTTTTGTCCTGAAGGGCTTTTGGCCGTTCCCAGGGAGTGTATATCCCTCGAAGCGAGCACACGAATATTGTGGAATGTTTGTCCCTCGAAGCGAGCACACAAATATTGTGGAATGTTTGTCCCTCGAAGCGAGCACACGAATATTGTGGAATGTTTGTCCCTCGAAGCGAGCACATGAATATTGTGAAATGTTTGTCCCTCGAAGCGAGCACACGAATATTGTGGAATGTTTGTTCCATGAAGCTGACACACGAATGTTGCAGAATGTTTGTACCTCGACGAGAGCGCAAGAATGTTGCAGAATGTTTACCTATTCAAGTGTGAACAAGAAAATAGTAGCTGTGCTTCTCCTTTCACTCAGCACAGGAATAAAGAATAAAAAGTTTCGAAGAGAGCGCAACAATGTACCTAGAACATTTTATGAAGGGGCTGAGAACGATGATGCCAGTCATGATGATGATGATGATGATGACGACATAGAAAAAATCTGCAGTTCACAAGATGTTCGACATTACAGTTGTCACCGAACGTAATGAACACACATCGGTATCCGTTTTTAACGTGTTGCTGGACATTTTGATGAGCATTATGACTGCTTCTGTTGTTTATGTCGAACATCATCGACTGATATGGCACTTAACTGAGTAATCAGAGTTGAAAAATAATATTACACACATAGCATTTGTGTTTCACAAGTTGCCTGGACAACGATTTGTTTCGAACCCCGTATTGTGTTAAGACGATGCACTTATTGTATCCTAAATTGCATCCACCCTTTCATGTATAACATATTGTTCTGATGTATGTTTGAATGTGTGATGCATACTTTTATATTTTGATCAGTATATCAATTGCAAGTAGATTTGAGTTGAATTATGAGCTGATTTGATTGCTTCATATGTCATTGTGTGTTCAGCATGTGAGTTGACCGAGTTACGTTTGTGAAAGTGGTGAGCTTATCGTCAAACCATTCAATACGCTAGTGATTGTTAGAGAATTTCAGTTTTCTACGTGACTTTGAAACAGCCTGCTTTTTTTTTGCCTTCGCGAGTATTTTAAAAATGAGGATTCTCTCTCACCTGCGTGTGAATCCTGTACAAATGTTGGGGCTGAAGGAATGAGACTATGACAATCATCAGAAAACATGTACCGCTTTGACTTTTTGACGGCAGGAGCTGTCTTTGGTGCGTTTTATCTGTGTACTAGTACTGCCATATCCTTATACCTTTAATCGTTATTGCAAGGATAACCTATCCATTGTGTCATTGTGTGGGGGGCGGTGGGGTAGCCTAATGGTTAAAGCGTTGGCTCGTCACGCCGAAGACCCGGGTTCGAATCCCCACATGGGCACAATATGTGAAGCCCATTTCTGGTGTCCCCCGCCGTGATGTTGCTGGAATATTGCTAAAAGCGGCGTAAAACCAAACTCCGTCAGTCAGTCAGTCAGTCATCGTGTAATCCAGTAATGAGGTGAAGGTGAGGTGACATTGGGTTTAACGTCGTGCTTGAGAATATTTCGCTCATATGACGACGTGCATGCGTGTGTATGTGTATGTGCGGCTGCTTGTACTAGCCCAGACTGAAGCTGGTTTTATAGTGCTAGCCCGCTGAGATACCATGCCGCAGTGAAGCATGAATACCCCACTCAGACACATTATGCTGACTCCGAGCCGACCAGTCCTTGTTGTACCCATTAATGCCGAGCGCCAGGCAGGGACCAACAAGTACCATATTTTAACGTCTTTTGGTATGACGCGGCCGGGGATCGAACCCGCGACCTTCCGCTTTCCGGGCGGACGCTCTTACTACTACACCACGGAGGCGGTCCCATCCAGTAATGTGTGCGTGAAGTAGTATTAGTGTTCATTTAATGGTACCAGTGGGCTTCAGATAGACCCCTTTCCACCCGCTTCACTCGTAGCAGCATTTACAGGCAGTGCAGATGTTTATCAAACAGTTTCACATTAAGTGTATTGTCGTATAATCCGTGCATGATAAAGTGGAACACATGAACTAAATAACCCCATGGATATCGAACTGGGCGCAAAATTAGACTTTGATAAACCGTAACTGATGTTTAAATCTTACATAACAGCTTGAAACGAGACAACGGTAAGCAGCATTAGGTTACAATTAGTTCCTGATGATCAGATACTTGATATATGTCGTACATCATATTGTTAGTGAAGGGTTCAGGAAGCAGTTTGACAGTATCCCGGTGGAAGGATGAGCTTCCCTGCTGTTATATAATGATTACAAGCAATACTGGTACCATGGACGTAAACTCCCAGACCTTGAAACAATGTGGGACAGCCTTCTATCACTCCATGCATGCTCACACCGTAAAAGGGGGCACCTCTCTTTCTCTGTCCCTCTCTGTCTCTCTCTCTCTATCAAACTGTCTCTCTGTATCTCTGTCTCTCCCTGTGTCTCTCTCTATCTATCTGTCTCTCTCTGTCTGTCTGTCTGTCTCTATCTCACTCTCTCCCTCTCTATCTATCAATCTGTCTCTCTCTCTGTCTCGATCTATCTGTCTCTCTCTGTCTGTCTGTCTATCTGTCTCTCTCTCTCTCTCTCTCTCTCTCTCTCTCTCTCTCTCTCTCTCTCTCTCTCTGTGCGTGTTTATAATATCGTATCTCTCGATGTGCATAGTAAGATGCTGCTACAGCGATTTGTGTTTGAACCCGAATGGTTTTAAATGGATTGTCAAAGCACGCATTAGCTTTCGTTAAGATATTTCGAGCCCCCTGAGATCGTGACTAACACAACTTTAAACAAGGTGGTCGACATGATGCGCCAATGCGACTAGAAGTACCATTACTCTCTCAACCATTTGACCCTTGCGTGATCTGGTCTTAACTCTACACATTAATATAGGCTCACGATCAAGTCGCTTTGTATAGGGGCGCCGTGGCTGCACAGTGTTAATGGATGTATCACCTTGACCTACTGTATGTACAAGACGCCGTTGTGTGTGGAAACAAGGTCGCCGTCGTTGGAGTATGGACGTTGGTCAACATCCTTGTATACCGATATGTCCATGTGGCTAGAAATATAGATTAATACCCGAGCATACATGTCATATTGTATTTATAACACGAGTGACTGAAAAATGATATTTTCTGGCTCGGGTATTTATTTGGTATTACTTTCTATTTATTAAAACTATGTGTTAATAAATAACAATATCACCCGTCCCCGCTGCCGTGCCGAGACCTGGTATGTAGAGGATCTCTAAGATAAGCTGGTATTCATAAGCTTGTTTTCTTGATCATTTGGTAACAAGTGAACTTTATACTGCCAAAATATTATGCATCAACTTCGGTGCAAAGAAAACAATCCGTCAATCAAAGTGACTGATATTGTCAAGCCCTGTCGAAAAATCTGTTGAATATCAATAACCGCTGCTGCGGACTTTCAATTCGTTGTACTCATTGTGCAGTTGAGTTTAAAACATACAGTATTACATGGGGCGATCTGGGATGTTTTTAGAGACAATATAATTATGGTATAGTTTCAAAGATATCGATAATAGCATTAGTAAATATCGTCAGTGGATTTGAAATATGTTTTTGCAATCGAATTCAATTGATTGCTTCTTTTACTGGGTCAGGAAGTTTTTTTAGAAATGTTGTCATCAGTGACTGAACTGATTTGATTGTTTTTCGGTAGTCATGAATAAGTCAATAATTGAGTTGTAAACGGCAGCAGTGGCACAGTGTCTGTTCCTCGCTGTACACAAGTTTCAGATGAAATATCGGATTTTTGGGCAGCTTATTCTTCTATATTCTACAGGGATTTGGTAACAGCCATATCCCAAACATCTTCTCAAAATACCGCTGAAGCACCGAACGCCCACCCATACTATGTTATTAGACTATGTGTTCACGCCCTGAATAGAACCAGCACAGTCCAACCCTGACCGTAACATTGACAGGAACACCCACTGCAGAGAAACGTCAGGAATCTTCAGCGCATTTAGTAAGCATTTAAACCTCAATGACCCTTTCCTTTGCGTTCCACGGCGCTTTCAGCCATTTTGTAAACCAGATGGGCTGTAAATTCATGTAAGTTAGTTGTTAAGACATAACAGAAACACATCAGCTAAATTTGAATTTTTATTATTTCATTGAGTCCCCTTTGCAAAATGCCTGACACACCAGCTTCCGAACAAAATATACATGTACAGTCTTGCATAAATCCCCGTCGGCGATGTTCCTGGACTTGTAACACTTGATAAAAATATGTGTGCCTTTGTCATCTAAAACAGTGTGCTATATGTTGTATATTGACTGGGTCTACTGGAGGCGGCAGCGGTCATCACAATGAACTGGTGTCCGTTCTACCCTCCTCGTAGATACGATGCTTTCTTCATGGGTCCTTAAATCATGTGTAACATATTGCCAAAGCGAGAGGTCAAAATTTTAGCTTTATTAAAGTTGTAGATGCCGCCACCGCCGCGACAGATAGTGTCCCGCATGTGCGTCAACCAGTATTACTGTGTAGTTGTGTTCATTTTGTTGAAGCAAACACCTTCGACTGAATGTTTGAGGGAAGGGTCAATGTCGTCGTCTCCTCAGTGTCGCCTAGGCCGAAGAGTGTGGATGGAGGTTGAGCACTGGTTCAATCATGTGGAAACAGCATTGTCTCTAGGGTCAATAGAATATCACAAGGCCTACAACAGAAGGAAACAATTGGTCATATAACATATATAGGTTGAACATATTTGTTTGATTCAAGCATACTTGATCCGCTAAGTGCTGCATGTCATGTAGAAAAGTATTGAGGGATTTCGGGTGTTTCTGAGCTTGGACGCACGTGGTGGATGGGTATGTCTAGGACAAATTCGCCATGTACATGCGTGGCGTGGTCCTATCCGTGTTTAAAACCTTGTCCAACCATTGGTGTACGCATGTAACATATGTTATGTTTGGAAGTTCTCTTTTTGAGCAAATACAAATAGTATTTAGATTGATTTATATCCGGGATTTCAATATGGCATTTTCCCGTAACCTTGATGACTGAGTGGAGTAGATGGCTGACTTTGCATCCTGCCGATTTGGTGCTCTACCCTGAGTCCTGGACAAATGTGTACCCCTGGTATGAAGTCACTGCTTACTTTGCGTCCTGCCGATTTGGTGCTCTACCCTGAGTCCTGGACAAATGTGTGCCCCTGGTATGAAGTCACTGAGAACAACGGGGACGCGTAAAATACATGTGTGTCACAGCACATGAAGATGCTACTACGCCAGATGGCATGACACGTTATTTGGTGCCATGGTTCGCGAAACAAATTGATGTTCAAGCAGGACATATTTAATCAAGAAGTTTGTCGACTACGAAATGAACAAGAAGAAGTTTACTGCCGCCATTCCAGGTAGTCGTCATTACGACAAATGGCTGACTTTATCGTGTTGTTACTGCTGACGAGGCTCGGGGACGTGTAGGAAACACATTGAAGCAAATACATTGTGTCTGATGTCCAGGCCGAGTTTACAACGCAGTGTTAATCTTCAGCTCAATCTATCATGGTGGGGAAAGTTAGACATGTCTCCTAATTGTATGTCTGCTGAGCAGGTCCCTCTGTTGATTGAAATGTCTTTTTTATGTGGAACGGGAGCGGCAGACCTGTTTAAATTACTTCTCGAGGTTTTTGCCGTACACTCCATTTTACTTTCTGTAAAACTTCCTTATTGGCAGGAATTCAAAAACATACCCTCCCATGTGAAATATGAATGTCAGCTACTTGGACATTTTTGTATCTCAGTGGACTAGACAAATGCGTCCTGATTGATGTCAGTTAGTACAGATGACTGATGAAGATGTCAACTGCGTCAAACTGGCTACATTCATTGTCACAAAGTACAAAGCAAATAGCGTCAACATAAGGTGTTGCGAAGTAGATTGTGTAAAAGATCAAAATGGAGTAGAAAAACGAAATTGGTGTTCGGTCAACCATTCTACTTGGAATCAACTGTTTTCACTACACACTTCGCTCAAATGTAAGAGCAAATATGTGCCGATCTCTAGATCAAAAGGGCCGGTCTGAGTCCTATTTGAATAGCAATTTGAATAAAAAAAAATTCAGTGAATATCAGGCTCTCGTAGATGAAACCTAACAGCACTGCAGACGTAATGTTAAACACAATACATAGAAAACTGCCAGGCATTAAACACCTCTTCCCGACATTCCATCTCGACCGCATATACTACTGCAATTTTGTATTAAACATTAAACATGATTCTAGCTCTTTGAGCCCTCGTGAAGGTTCCGTTACAAAAACTGGAATTCGCGTGAACATTTTTTGTAATTACGGCTCTGCGCCGTGACACCGATCCCAGCCTTAGGCACATAACAAGCTTTATTGAAATTCTAACAAACTCAAGAATTTCATTTACTTTTGACTCGCGATTATTTGAGACGATTTAATGGTATTTAAGAAATATAACGTTGTGAGGACGTGTAAGATTAAATGGCTTCCTCTTTTACAGAAAATCGATTTGTTGCTTTATGTGAGCTGACGAGCGATTACAGGAACGGACACTACATGAATATGTTTCCTTTCGTAACAGATACCGACGTGAAAAAGTCAGCGATTCTACTCTCAGACTGTCGGAACTATCACAGCGACAGTTGTAGTGTTCTGCTATTTCGTTAATAACAGTTTTCTGAGATCGTCTTGGCCCCGTTAACCAGCCTGCAGGGAACTTCATTTTTTCACCCCAGTTTTAATGCTTCTTCAGTGTATTTTTCCTGAGCGTAGATTCCCATATTTGCGTTTTTGCTGGACGATGAACTTAGGTATCAAATGTAATTTAGGCTACCGCCAATGTCGCTGATCCTACACAACAGGAAGCTTACGACACACATTGTACATCTTTTTCATGTTATCGCAGAGCATTTTAAAAATGTCGTAAAGTAGGAAAAAGGGTATTCTGATTAAAAAGTGTAGTTGGTGTACAGATATTCTTCTTTATACACGAACTGTCAGTCAGTTAATCGAGTTATATGATGTTGTAGCCAAAGCTACACAGTAAATAAACTTACAACTGACACAACCTGATGTCTGATATAATTCGTGTCTCTCGAAAGCGCTGGGCGTATTTGGCCGCAACATATATTTCAGCAAGAGTGAGCGTTTTTAGAAAATTGTAATCTCAACTCAGAATGATCCAGCTATGTAGCGACATTTTAATAAAGAATGTTTAAACAATGAGCAGAGATCGTAAAGAAATAACATTTGAAGACAAAGAAACTTGAATTGGACCAGTAATGCAAGCAACAGTTCTGACCTCTCCCCTGTCGTAAAATAAAGACGATTCTCTCCTTTCACACACGAAGACGTGCATCGTGCAGCCAGGTACTAACCTTTGTATGATGCAGTACTGGGTGGTATATGGGTCTATCTCCGTGCGGCTCTGTTGACGATTGGGGCGGCCTTCCTGCTCTCCCAGTCCTTGTACAGCTGGCCGATAGCAGCTAACGTGGCTTCAGCGTCATTCAGGGGCATTCCCTCGAAACGATGACGAAGGAAGTTTCCGACAAGGTCTTCCTTCTCTCCTGAAAAGCAAAGCTTTGAATTGCAAAAGTAGGAATAAACAGAACTGTGCAAGAGCTTCATATCTGACAGGTTCGATTCCCAACATGGGTACAATGTGTGAGGCACATATCTGGTGTCCCCCGCCGTGATGTTGCTGGAATATTGATAAAAGCGGCGTAAAACCATTCTCAGTTTGTTTAGTCAGTCAGTCAGTCATATCTCAGATGTCTTCAGAGGAAAGACGCAGATCGATGCTCATGCTGTTGATCACTGGATTGTCTGGTCCGGACTCGATTATTTTCAGACCGCCGCCATATAGGGGGAATATTGCTGACTGCGGCGTAAAACTAAACTCACTCACTCACTCAGAGGAAAGATGATCACATTACAACAATAGAGTTTGTTGTTATAGTGGCGGATTGTTGTCCGACAGCCTGTTGTCATCTTCATCTACACTAGGGGCGTTCGCCCGGGGATATTTTACCCCATTTCTGGTGTGCCCCTTCGTGATGTTGCAGGGATATGACCAGAAGCGGCGTCAAACCTTACTCACTCACTCATCCACACTACCAGTATATTTATGATTTGCATTTAAGGCCAGATGAGTTCTTTGAAGTTCGTGTCGAATCAACTTGCTTTTGTTTCCTGCGGGCTACGATCAAGATGCTTCACCGAGGTTACTGAACAGCCATTGCATGGGTGTGTCCACTGAGATGTAAGCCGACTCGCCCCCACTGGCCCAGTTCGGATCATTTGTAATATGATGCCATTTGAACGATTCCATGAATAAATATAAAAATCTAAATTGGATTAAATCTGAAGTGAGTGACACTAGTATGAGACCCCACTGACATATCCATTAAGTTGTAACATAAAGTATTTGTATATGACACCAACTAAGAGTTAAAGGCCTGATAAATGTCATTAAGAATGTGTTTTCAAACCGCTCCAGCTTCAACATAATGCGTTCTGGATATCAACCATTACGCAAACACCTCATTTGCTTGTATTAAAACATATGATAATCGAAGTTGAGTATCCACCTACGTATATAACACTGATTAGTAAATCTATTAGAGTGGTTCCAGTTTCATGTTTCATACGCAAGCAAGTTATAACTTAAAAGCACAGTTTAGTAAAAACACGGGTTATTTCTAATTTAAATACAGCAGTATTTGGCTCGTGATTGGCTACCCGTTCAAGCAGATTTTAATTTTTTCACATCAATATTCGTTTATATGCCAGGATGATCCTTCCTGTCCATCAGAAGAAACAACAGGCCCTCAGTTAAAGCACCACTCTACCGTTGCTAATTACATCATTGTGACAGACATCCGCTATCTATTATTACAGAAACGAGCGCACGGAACATCCATCGCATCATTTTTAATCCCTTATTATTTCAATCATGCTTGGAAGCGTTGTGTCGAAGTTGATTGCTGTAAAGATAACAATGGTTTATTGACCAGTGTGGGGTGTGTGAGGGAAACAGCACGGAAAGTCGAGGAGGAACACCTCCAGCACGCTCAACCGTCCAGTAAAACTAACCATTGATCGCCTACACAACAATCAGTTTAGTCGCCGTTGTATGCCGCATGGTCGTATGGACATAGAGCTATGAGCTGTTAACGAGGAATGTGTATATATAACATACATTAACGGATTCGTCCAGTGATTTGTTTTCACGATACTGCACGAAGTTGAATTGTCCTCCACAGTTAGGTTCCATCGCGGGAGGTTCATAATACGGTGTTTAAGTCTGTTTCTCAAGATGTCAAGTCGACAGTTTATAGTTACCAACCTTACTTAAACTTTAATACACAATGAAGATACGAGTAGGTGGGTTGGGTGCATGTGAACATCATGCACATCAGAACAGATTGGGGACCGTGTGCTGAACATCCTATTGAAATGCCGTAGTGAATACCAATCCCCCTGACGATATTAAGTAATTCATGAGCCAGCTCGCGTGCATTTGGTCACCTCGTGGCGTTTAGCCTTAAATATTGATATCGTTCGACGCTTTATAAACGGTCAAGGCAATAACGACGAATAAGATGGCTCTTCAGGCGTGAGGATGGCAATCTTCCACACCTTAACCACCACATCAAGCAGGGTGTAGGCGAGTTATGTGGTCCCCCGGGTGTAAGACAATCTCGGTATGACCTTCTGGGAGTTGTCTGTGTTCCGCCGGGAGCTCTGAGAACACTGTCGGACTTTAGTCCCAACAAGACTATAGTGGTATATATCGTATTAATGTGGCAGCTGTGTTTTACATGATACGTAGTGATGTATTTGCTCCTGTCAACCTCTAAATGTCTATGAAACCTAACATTTCATATCACTGGATTTCTTATTTCATGGAGTCGTTCAGCAATTGCATATACAAACAATATTTTACAAGCGTTTATCTAATACATATTACTACCTAATGTTGCCACTTTTATCGAATTATTTTTGATCGAAATATATCATTGCATCGTTTACTTTCTCTCGTCTTTGATTAAGTTCTCGTTATTTCAGTTATATTCTACAAAAATTTAAGATTTGTTTTTGTTACTTCAAGTTTCTTCCAACTTGAAATTTCGCTTTTCTTATCGGTGTTACTGTTGTTTCTCGATATTTGTGGTACCTTACAACACAAAAACTCGAAATTTCAATTTGAGGTAATGAGAACGAACAAGATATTTTTAGAAAATAAATATTGAAGTAACCAGAATATAATCGTCGGAACGAGTAAATTCTCGACATGTTGCGTTTTCACTGCTAGAAGTAGTGAGAAATTATTCGAAGTAACCAGAAAATAATCGAGGCAACGACAAAATAGTCAGAACTCCAATTTTAAATAACGCGAAAATAATTGAATCAGCGAGAGAATGAATAATTGAGAAATATAAGAGACTTTTCGCTGAAAATTATAATTGTTGCTGCAAAAGTACCAACATTAGGCTTTTGTAAGATAACGGAACATGTGAACATTATTTCCCGAGAGAAATCAATATGACACACATGCAAGTAAAATAAAAAATGTTTACTTAGTATTACTTCGTACATTTCAGCTACCCTTTGACAAATGCAGTGATCACGACTGCCGACCTATAAACCCACATATGTCGAATGATGTCTCCAGTCCTTTCGTCGTCGTGTGACGTCATTTTGATCTTACATCACAATAAGAATATAATTACGTCAACAATGATATTTAAATGACATGAACAATGCACCTGTCCACGTGAAGTAATATTTGCACAAGTGTGCACATTGTTTTGGGAATACGGTTATTTTTAACCCTTCGGTTATTAATGGACGACATCGTGTTGAAATCAATGAACTAAAAGACTGATATTTACACAAAGGTAAATTTACCAGTTTGTGGTTCGTCCACAACACGGTTGACTGGTACGTGTACATATTGTACGTGAATAGCTGAGAGCAGCTTACTGAAGGAGCCGGAAATGAAACATTGCCCTCGTCCAATATGATCCAAGTTGTGATTAATGTTGGAGAGTCGGCACGCTGCAGGGATGAATGGGAGGCTGGGCACAATTCAGTTTTAAACATTCATCTATTCTGATTTCATATCAGGAAATACTGGATTATTTCCGGACTTAAGAAATTCGGATCTTCAGGGGACAATATTTCACGAAAAACAAACTGAACCTGCACTATTTATTAAGCATAAGTTGCGAGTTCGGGAAGGAATGAAAGTGCCCATATTTCATTGCTTTACTACAGTTTATACGCCCTACACACGCGGACCTTCTTCATAAGAATACGAATACCACTTTTTAATCATTAGAACTTTTGAGGCTACAATACTGAGACTTTGCATCAGAAAACAGCGTCTGTTGACGATTCCGGAATCAACAGAGAATATTCTTATGAACTGACAAAATGACGAAACTGTGGGTACAATAGAGGCTGGTAGGGGTGTAGACTTCAGTGTTCTAAGATGTCCGAACATTTTGGCAAATCTAAAATTGTCGTTCGTTTTAGGCGAGCGGGGCTGCATTGAGATCTTGGAGTGGTATGCCCAAAATTAGACCACTGTCATGATCGTCTCATTACATTAATGGCACCGCGCAATTTATTTAAATCTCTCCTTTATAAATATGGAACGACGTATAGTAATAGGAAGTAGAATAATACCAGGGATAAGCCCATTTCTGGTGTCCCCCGCCGTGATATTGCTGGAATATTGCTAAAAGCGGCGTAAAACTAAACTCAGTCAGTCAGTAATACCAGGGACACGTTTTGTGTCAGTGTCTCTACACCATGCTATCATCCCCGATTCATTGACGACAGAAAATAATTCCTGGCCACGGTGTGAGGGTTCATGGTTTGGGGCGGTATCATAAGTGACACAAGTATACATTCTGATTTGTATACATTCAAAACACTGGACTGACCATAGACATGTTGACGAAATCCTGCGTCCAGTCGTTGTTCCATTCGTTAGAGTTATCGGCAATTGTTTAACTGGTAAATGGCTAATGCCAGACTATATCTTCACCGATTATCGCATTAAACATCGGACGGACCCAATATGTTCCTAACAGAGGGTTTGTGGAATGTTCTCGGGTGAGCAGTGCGCCAGAAATCCTTCGCCCGCCAATTCGTCCCGGATTAGCTCAGTATGCTTAATGGCGGTCAATGCCATGTGTAAAGGAAAACAAGTTAATTAATAGTATACAATCAAGAAGTCGTGTATGTATCGCAAGCATGGCTGACACACTGGATATTGATCTATTGATCTACATTGCGGAAATGCATTTCACAGACTTTACATCTTCATTGCATCTCCCCTGCCATGTGTTCAGATCCTGTGTGTTGGTAGTATACGTCTGTCGTCGGAGAAACGATATCACTTCGCAGTAATAAGCCAGGGTTTCAGAAACAAACTTTGATCTTGTGCGAGTCTTAGATTCGCAGTGATACGTTGTTGTTACTGATTCATCAGTATCATGCCCCTGCGCGCGGGTTTGACCAACATCGGTAATCAATCCTTTGAAGCTACCTCATTTAACGACAGAATAGTTTGAAATACAATTACGTGTTTAGAATGAACAGAATAGAATAGAGATTTTATAGTCACATTATATTTACGCTAAATCTGGGTTTCTAAACCTTGTCTCCTGCTGAGAGAATCTTGTTTCGTCAGTAGTATCATTTGAGTCTTTTGAAACGATTGAAGTTTGGTTCTTGCAGTATTACGGATACTGGATCATGGTGTACATTATGAGAGGATACTGGATCATGGTGTACATTATGAGAGAATACTGGATCATGGTGTACTTTATCAGAGGATACTGGATCATGGTGTACTTTATCAGAGGACACTGGGTCATGGTGTACACTACCAGAGGATACTGGATCATGGTGTACATTATAAGTTGTTCACAGGTCACGAGTGGGACATGGTTTCATGTACCCTCATGGATCATAATAAGGAGTACTTGAGTTAGGCAACAACACAAACACTACTAACACGAAGTACCAAACGAATTTCCACAGTTTGGCATTTCCAGCGGGTAACATAGAAACTGTTACTTGCATGTAAGCGGGGTACATTAATTGGCTCAGCCAACCAGAAAACGACATTTATGCGAGAGATAAGATAATATCAGACGATACTGGATTATGGTGTACATTATCAGACGATACTGGATCATGGCGTACATTATCAGACGATACTGGATCATGGTGTACATTATCAGAGGATACTGGATCATGGTGTACATTATCAGAGAATACTGGATCATGGTGTACATTATCAGAGGATACTGGATCATGGTGTACATTATCTTAGGATACTGGATCATGGTGTACATTATCAGAGAATACTGGATCATGGTGTACATTATCAGAGAATACTGGATCATGGTGTACATTATCAGAGGATACTGGATCATGGTGTACATTATCAGAGAATACTGGATCATGGTGTACATTATCAGAGGATACTGGATCATGGTGTACATTATCAGAGAATACTGGATCATGGTGTACATTATCAGAGTATACTGGATCATGGTGTACATTATCAGAGGATACTGGATCATGGTGTACATTATCTTAGGATACTGGATCATGGTGTACATTATCAGAGAATACTGGATCATGGTGTACATTATCAGAGGATACTGGATCATGGTGTACATTATCTTAGGATACTGGATCATGGTGTACATTATCAGAGGATCATAGTGACAGTTCTCACCTTGAGTGGCCGACCGCCATGTCACTCGATATAAGGGACTCGACGTACAATACCGCGCGACTCACAGTAAACAGATGGAAAATCGATCTTTACTAATTTGTTTTTATGAGAAACAGTCCGCGTGTTTGCATTTCAAATGAGTGCGTTTTGTTAAGCTAGAAATTAGTGCAGTTAGGGCGCCTGCTAAGAAAGTCCTATAGTTATTTGCATATTGATATGTTAGATGTCAAGGCAACTATGTTAGATGTCAAGGCAACTTAGTTATTGATAACCAAGCGATTTAGAAATAGAATCTAAACTTCATCAGCCTTAAACAGAGATCATAATTGTTTCTCGACACTTCTTATAACTCCCTGGTTGAGCTGGAACCAGGATATTGTATGTAATCAATACGCCACTCTGAGCTGAGGGTTCTGTCCTGTGGCTTCCTTGGACTCGGTGTGGTCATTTAGGTACTGTGTAGATATCGATGTTGCAGAGTATACTTTGTGGAATGTATTATAATTGACATAATGTACAAACTGCTCTGAAACCTCATGTTAAAAACTACCGTTTAGTTTCACTTTTCCATGAACAGTGTGTGTTGAAAAAGTTCATCGACGAACTTCGCTTTTTTGGAAAGATAGTGTAATTTCGTTGTTATTTCTAACACTTGACGGCTGACGTATATGTGGCATATTTGTGTACATGAAACATCTCGGTTATGGAGAGAAAGAATAGAAACAGATTGTACCTACAGCTTGTGGAGGTTGCCTTAGGAATCTCAACCCTTTTTTTCTTGACATGGTGCCTAAGGTTTCAATATTAACAATTTAGAAATTACACTTTCTCGTTTTGAATGTGATAAAGGAAACTATCATAATACAATTTGATTTCGTTTCTCACCGAGTCGTACAGTTAAAGAAAACATGGACCCACTGGGCGCTAACTTGCTGTCGACTGTTCACTGGCCAAGTATCATGACTATCTGGGGAGATGTGCAAGAAATGCACAATACAGTGTAGTATATCGAGAGGTGGTGCAATCTGATGCAGTTGCTGAATGTAGAAGTGTACATAACATATGATGCCTGCAGAAGAGGAATACTATAATTGTCAGGGTTACGTAATTTCATGACAGTCAGATTTGAAGATCGGATGACAATTTAATACACGCAGTACTCTATGCAATGTTGTTTTTATATGGAGTAGAGATGTAAATGTTTATATATGACCTCGTCTTACAATGTGTAACAATGCTGCGTCAGGTGAAACAAGGTGTAGAGGCACGTGTAAGATCTACTTAAGTAACGTTACAAAAGAAAGCATGTTACATGTATACGAATTGAATTATAATCAATGCCAATTCTCAGTAACTAAAGTAACATAAGATAGATTACATAGGACTTTATTATCCCAGTGGGAATCCATATTGCACTGTTGATTAGTACTAAAATATGAAAAACAGAATACATGACATTAAACTTAACTCATACATTCTCGTTTTCATATTTGAGTGCTAGCAATATGTGTAAAGTGAATTTCCCTTGGTAGAAAGGTAATGATGAACATCAAATCAAATCAAATCAAATTTCATATTCGAAACGTTTTACTTCCTTCTGGCCTCACAACAGTCAAAACTAAAGATGGTAGATGGTAATTCTAACAGCTATTTTCATAAAGCCTCAGGACATGCTCCATTGACAGTTCATAAAACTGTAACTTCAAGATCCAACTTCTATGATCCTATGTGCAAACATCCCGAAATTGACAAAGTACACGCGGTGGCCATTGGTTGACAAATTGGAATGTTAGAGTAAGTTTATTTTACCTTGTGTATAAACTATTTGTATGTTGTAATGTTAAAATGGCCATATTTCAAACTTCATAAGTAAATAAATTATTCAAGTTGCAGTACACATGTTATAAGAAAACTCCTGCCCACTACCGAGACGTGTATGGCACCTTGCACACTGACTTTATGACATAGGCTATAGCAATACTATAGCTGTGTATTTAGTAGGCAACAACATGTAGTCCCTACAGGATATAGCATTACAAAATGGTACATCTAACCTTTTGTAACGACCGATAAATCTTCCTACAAATGTATAACTAAACTAAAAACTGGAAGCATTACGCCTTGTCCATTTCCAGGCAACACCCACATTTCTGCCTGGTAACGTGTATTGAACTTTCACGTTGAACAAACCGTCGTGATGTGTTAATACTATAGAACACATTAACTAAAACACCTTCGTGTGAGATAGTCAACTAAAACAAAGTTGAGATAAAACAGCTAAATGCTATCTTAACTTCATTCAGAGTATAACTTTTGTAAATGTAAAGCCACGAAAGTGTGAAGTTCCCAAAGATTGAAGTTTGACTTACCCCTCTTGCCGTACCAGTTGGCGTTGGATGTTGAGATGATGGCGAAAAGAACAGTGCAGACGAGAAGGGTAACACGCATCATGATGGAGGAGTGTGGAGAACTGAAGTAAGCCTAACTTTGCAGGTGCTATGTAGCAAGTCTGGACTCGGGGAGTTTGTGGCCGAGGGAAACTCTCCCCTTCCTTATATACCCATCAGATGTGGGTTCGCGAGTCGTAGGCGGGCTCAATGGCGAACTCAATTGAGTCTTGTCGTCTTGATTGGTGGAGTCACACGCAGTCAGTGCGATTCATCTTCGCGCCCTTGTCTACATGTATATGTTGTTTCCAATTCCCCTCTCATAATCGCCGTTTTGGATTATTGACCTTCAATTTGCAGGGCACTTTCTTGATCTTTACTCGCCGTTCTTATCTGACAGAATTGTGGCAGTTGATTCTTATTGATTGCTTCGGCTTTTATGGTTGTATGTATTCTATTCAAATAATGGAGGACATGACAATTTTTGTGTCTCCTTTGTGTATTTAAGACGCATTATGCCTGTCGCACTTAAAGGAATATTACGGGGGCCGGTGTAGTATTTACATGAAATATATGCATGATGTGAGTCGAATCCATAAATGTGAATGAATATTTACACCGAGGATGGCATATTGATAACTACTGATCTCACACTGGTGTTCAGGGGTACATGAATCTTCCACAGGTTAAGGAATACTTTTTGAGGGATCTAATTTGGGAGAGGTCAACTACTTGTTTGCATAGGCAGCAATACTTTATACTTATGGTACGCCATAAATAATATGTAGCGTACAATATTAAACGTTTTGATACAAATGTTCATATGTACTACGAACTACGAAACTGGTATGTCTGTTCGGAGTCAGTATGTTTCAAACGCATCATATATACTCTTCAAGGAGGCGGTAGGGTAGCCTAATGGTTAAAGCGTCACCCTGAATACATGTGTTCGATTCCCCACATGGGTACAATGTGTGAAGGCCATTTCCGGTGCCCCCTGCCGTGATATTGCTGGAATATTGCTAAAGGCGGCGTAGAACCATACTCACTCACTCTTCAAGTCGGTACCAGAACAATTGTTCAATGAATGTTATATAGGCTCAGTATTACGATTTATTGCTCACCTTTGGGATAACAAGCTCGTGGTGCATGACAAATGCTCTGGGATAACATCTCTGAAGTCCATGACGTATCACCTTTAAGATAACACCCTCCTCTCCATGACATATCACCTGTAAGATAACACCTTGCTCTCTATGACGTATCACCTTTAAGATAACACCCTCCTCTCCATGACATATCACCTTTAAGATAACACCTTGCTCTCTATGACGTATCACCTTTAAAATAACAATCCTCCCCTCCATGACATATCACCTTTAAGATAACACCCTCCTCTCCATGACATATCACCTTAAAGATAACAACCCTCCTCTCCATGATATATCACCTTTAAGATAACAATCCTCCTCTCCTTGAAATATTACCTTTAAGATAATTACCCTGCTCTCCATGACGTATCACCTTTAAGATAACAAACCTCCTCTCCATGACGTATCACCTTTAAGATAACACCTTGCTCTCTATGACGTATCGCCTTTAAGATAACAATTCTGCTCTCTATGACGCATCACCTTTAAAATAACAATCCTCCTCTCCATGACATATCACCTTTAAGATAACACCCTCCTCTCCATGACATATCACCTTAAAGATAACAATCCTCCTCTCCATGAAATATTACCTTTAAGATAATAACCCTGCTCTCCATGACGTATCACCTTTAAGATAACAACCCTCCTCTCCGTGATGTATCACCTTCAAGATAACACCTCGCTCTCTATGACGTATTGCCTTTAAGATAACAATCTGCTCTCTATGACGTATCACCATTGAGATAACAACCATGCTCTCCATGACATATCACCTTTAAGATAACAACCCTCCTCTCCATGACGTATCACCTTTAAGATAACAACCCTCCTCTCCATGACGTATCACCTTTAAGATAACAACCGTCCTCTCCATGACATATCACCTTTAAGATAACTATCCTGCTGTCCATGACGTATCACCTTTAAGATAACAACCCTCCTCTCCATGACGTATCACCTTTAAGATAACAATCCCTCTCTCCATGACATATCACCTTTAAGATAACAACCCTCCTCTCCATGACGTATATTACCTTTAAGATAACAATCCTCATCTCCATGACATATCACCTTTAAGATGACAACGCTGCACTCCATGACATATCATCTTTAAGATAACAACCCTCCTCTCCATGACGTATCACCTTCAAGATAACAATCCTCCTCTCCATAACATATCACCTTTGGGATAAAACCCTGCTGTCCATAACATATCACCTTTAAGATAACATTCCTCCTCTCCATGACGTATCACCTTTAAGATAACAATCCTCCTCTCCATGACATATCACCTTTAAGATAACAACCCTCCTCTCCATGACGTATCACCTTCAAGATAACAATCCTCCTCTCCATAACATATCACCTTTGGGATAAAACCCTGCTGTCCATAACATATCACCTTTAAGATAACAATCCTCCTCTCCATGACGTATCACCTTTAAGATAACAATCCTCCTCTCCATGACATATCACCTTTAAGATAACAACCCTCCTCTCCGTGACATATCACCTTTAAGATAACAATCCTCCTCTCCATGACATATCACCTTTAAGATAACAACCCTCCTCTCCATGACATATCACCTTTAAGATAACATTCCTCCTCTCCGTGACATATCACCTTTAAGATAATAACCCTCCTCTCCATAACATATCACCTTCAAGATAACAACCCTCCTCTCCATGACATATCACCTTTAGATAACAATCCTCCTCTCCATAACATATCACCTTTGGGATAAAACCCTGCTGTCCATGACGTATCACCTTTAAGATAACAATCCTCCTCTCCATGGCGTATCACCTTTAAGATAACAATCCTCCTCTCCATGACATATCACCTTTAAGATGACAACGCTGCACTCCATGACGTATCACCTTTAAGATGACAACGCTGCACTCCTTGACGTATCACCTTTAAGATAGCAATACTCCTCTCCATGACATATCACCTTTCAGATAACAACCCTCCTCTCCATGACATATCACCTTTAAGATAACAACCCTCCTCTCCATGACATATCACCTTTAAGATAACAATCCTCCTCTCCTTGGCATATCACCTTTAGATAACAATCCTCCTCTCCATAACATATCACCTTTAAGGTAACAATCCTCCTCTCCATGACATATCACCTTTAAGATGACAACGCTGCACTCCATGATGTATCACCTTTAAGATAACAACCCTCCTCTCCATAACATATCACCTTTAAGATAACAACCCTCCTCTCCATGACATATCACTTTTAAGATAACAACCCTTCTCTCCATGACATATCACCTTTAAGATAACAACTCTCCTCTCCATGACATATCACCTTTAAGATAACAATCCTCCTCTCCTTGACATATCACCTTTAGATAACAATCCTCCTCTCCATAACATATCACCTTTAAGATAACAACCCTCCTCTCCATGACATATCACTTTTAAGATAACAACCCTTCTCTCCATGATGTATCACCTTTAAGATAACAACTCTCCTCTCCATGACATATCACCTTTAAGATAACAATCCTCCTCTCCTTGACATATCACCTTTAGATAACAATCCTCCTCTCCATAACATATCACCTTTAAGATAACAATCCTCCTCTCCATGACATATCACCTTTAAGATGACAACGCTGCACTCCATGATGTATCACCTTTAAGATAACAACCCTCCTCTCCATGACGTATCACCTTCAAGATAACAATCCTCCTCTCCATAACATATCACCTTTAAGATAACAATCCTCCTCTCCATGACATATCACCTTTAAGATGACAACGCTGCACTCCATGATGTATCACCTTTAAGATAACAACCCTCCTCTCCATGACGTATCACCTTCAAGATAACAATCCTCCTCTCCATAACATATCACCTTTAAGATAACAATCCTCCTCTCCATGACATAGCACCTTTAAGATGACAACGCTGCACTCCATGATGTATCACCTTTAAGATAACAACCCTCCTCTCCATGACGTATCACCTTCAAGATAACAATCCTCCTCTCCATAACATATCACCTTTAAGATAACAATCCTCCTCTCCATGACATATCACCTTTAAGATGACAACGCTGCACTCCATGATGTATCACCTTTAAGATAACAACCCTCCTCTCCATGACGTATCACCTTAAAGATAACAATCCTCCTCTCCATGACATATTACCTTTTGGATAAAACCCTGCTGTCCATGACATATGACCTTTGGGATAGCAACCCTCTTCTCTATGACATATCACCTTTGGGATAACAATCCTCCTCTCCATAACATATTACCTTTGGGATAAAACCCTGCTGTCCATGACATATCACCTTTGGGATAGCAACCCTCTTCTCTATGACATATCACCTTTGGGATAAAACCCTGCAGTCTATGACGTATCATCTCCGAGGTAACAACCCTGCTGTCTATGGCGTATCACCGTTGGGATAACAATTCTGGAGTGAAAACTGTCAGAGAAAGAGACGACATGCAGACATTCAGACAGACAGACAGACAGATAGAGGAACAAGGTGTAATGCCTGAAACTTCGGTCAAAGGTTTTTTGTTTTAATTAGACAGTATGTTTCGGATCATTTCTCGGATGTCAAGTTCTTGTAGTAAATTTAATGTGTCGCCGGCAGCTGTATTTCTTCTTTCTTCTGTCCTACGGCTGCCTCTCAGCTATCAAATTATAAGGAGTTGTACGTGCTAGCTGTATCTGACGCACAGGTCATTCACGAGCTTTTGCATGTGACGTCAGGACAATTTGAAATCACTTTCTATTGTCACCTGTCAGCGTCAGACGCCGGCAGACAGATATCAACTTATCATATTGTTGTTATGTCTAATTACAGGTAAGCATCCCCTTATATGTTCATTTTACATCTACCTTTAGTTGCTAGTATAATAATTATACCTACTGTGTTACTTAATTACCAATCAGGCAAATAATCATAACGTTAGTAAATCTACGTATTGGTCGCGTATAATGTAAATATTCCGCTCATCG